GGTTCTGTCATATTACCGACTGAACGCCACGCGTAAACGTAAAGTGTAAAGCTACGCATTTTAATACGTACTATTTTGCTAAATGCACGCCAGTATTGTTGTTGATACAATAGAATATTACTGACTGTCGATCATTTCTGTGTTTAAACTTTGTATACAAAAAAGTATAGGACAAATAATATAAAACACCTAGTGATTCTCGACCAATCAGAATGCACCACTGCATGACACTAAATGTCCTGTTTACGAGTCTGACTCAGTTTTCTCAAGTCAAATTTCTTGGTTCTCATAAATTGCTTTAACCAACTTTTATACAAATCACGTGATATCAAAGATGTAAGTTTTACTGTGCTAAGAAAAAAACGCAATGGTATGGCAAATGTAACCACAAATTCTGAAAGGTCAGTTCTCACTCACTGTGTACTGATGTACTGCATTCATGAATTGAATAAGTGTTTTATAGTATATTCCATTTGAGAATAGGAGCATGATCCATTTCCCATTACGTAATTCGTGTAAAAATGACTCACCGAGGACCCACAAAAATACTATTATTTCCGGAAATAAAGATTTATGGCGATTCAACTACACTTTAAACAAACGGCTTGCTTAATCTTGTATCGTAAGAAATAAAACAGTTTAAAATAAAAGAATTCCATTACTTTCAAAAATGTTGTTTTAAAAATAAAAACATGTTACCTATTTACCGACGTAACCACGCGCGTTCTAATTGTAGTGTTAAACATAAAATTATGGTTGGTTAATGTATATGCTATTCTTTTTAAAACAATAAAAACAGTGGGTATTTTAGAAACACCGTCATCAGCGTCAATCTCATAAATTGTAGATAGAAGTGAGAGACGCTGCTAATTTTATATTCTTCGAATATCTTTACATTTTCAAGAGCCAACAAAACAGCTATTATTTTAATTTGTTTGAATAAATAAAAGCAATTAATACAATTTTAAAATAATCAATTATTATTCATTGCAGTATTTACCTGGTTTGTCACAGGACGATGTTTTGCAATTCTCAAAATACGGTCAATCTGTTTATGGTTAAAATTTGACACGCCGATAGATTTTGCAAGACCATCATCAACAAGTTTTTCGACTTCCTGTGAGCAAAAAAAAATCTATTTAAATAGACATATGAATAATCAATGTTTTGGAGTAGCCAGGATTAGACTAAACATTGGATATCGCAGATATGACGCAAAGCTACACATTTTGCAATAAAGAACAGGGAAGAAGATATTACCACCGTCTGATGGTAGCCAGTACTTTGACATTCGTACATTTCTATACATTGAATACAAACATCTTTGTTCAAGAATTTTAGTTTTAAAGTGTGTTATTACCTGCCACGTGTCAACATAGTCGACGTCATCAGACAGCTCTTCACCTTTGTCGTTTTTCATGACTTCAGATTTAGATGCACCACTCTTCATATGTCATTGGTAGGTGTATTCAATTCATAAATAAACACACGGAATAAAACACGAAATAGATCAGATTTACAACAATCCGTCATTTCCAACGCGAAGACCATACTTACCAATAGATATAGAGTATCGATTGAATTATTGGGCATGTTTCTCTTGTACAAGGCATCAGCAAACTCGCTCCCCGTATTTCTGTTACGTTTGTCATTGGTCACAATTATGCATTAATGAATATTTGCACCAGTTTGGAAGACTATATACTTATCTAGTGTTCTGACCTGATATATATGCAAGTCAGCTAAGTCCACCACTGTGCTACAGTTAGTTATGCTATGTACAACCTAATGAATACGTGACTATGTTTTCTAGCCGTGTGTCATACAGACATTTTTTTTACTATCATCTCCTAATCTATTTAGTTCTTTCATACCGACAAAGTCTTTGAGGAGAAGGATAATAATTATAGTTACTTTTTTTATTGTTCGCTACTCTGCTGGCAAGTAAAAATGGTAAACAGGAATAACGGATTACATGTCAAATTTGTAAACATTCCTGATTTCAGTGGTTCAAACAGAGGGTTTTTTTGGTCGCGGCTAAAACTAATGCACAAAATATAAATCTGATTATAACACCAGTGTATTATCCTACTCCACGGGTTCTCTCGGGGTTCTCCACACTTGTCAGGGGGGAATCTCGTCTCGTCTCTCTATCGCGTCCCCTTGAGGTACGGGATCGGGAAAGTCACTTTAACTTACAGTCAAATAAGACACACACAACGAAATACGTTTCAGCTCTCGTCTTAGTCGGTCAATCGAGCACTCTATAAGACACAGCGCCCTGGGGAAAAAATCCCCAAGACTATCACAAGGCTGACCCAAGACTAGCCCAAGACTGTGCTTAGACTCGCCCCAAGGCTCTCCAGGACTGCACTCGACTCGTCTATTGTAGAGTACTCGTCAAGACCAACTCAAACTCTCTTTATTCATTTTCAAAACTCTAACCAATTACAAAGCAGTAAAAAGACTCCAGGGCGTAACCTTCAATCATAAAGCCAATCACACTAAGCACTGAATACGTCATATCTTTTGATTAATCTTTCACTACATTAATAACTATGGATATAAACTGTCAGAATTAATAGTCTAAATAGCGATGGTTATCTGGTAATTAGTTCCAAATCACTGAGCCAAGTTCCGTCCAAAACTTCAAATAGGCCTAAACGATGACAGACATAACACAGCAATTCGCTAATAATCAACTAATTAAGTCGGTCAACAGATACGCGAAAACAAATTCATGACAGTATAACAGAAATATAATATAATAGCAATATAAATATAATAAGCGAAAGGCGTGAATTTGTATTCGCGTGAAACAAGAAATAAAAAAAATCACTACCACGGGGGATAGAGGGTTATAGTGATTCTCTCTGACTCCCACTACTTCAGTCACTCATAACTGCCGATACATGAATAATTATAGTACATTGTAGTCTTATTTCAGTATTGATGGGTTGTCTGTTTTTTTATCTGCGTCAATTCAATGGATATGGCATACGTCACAAACTGGGAGGAAATAATATCCAAGTGCTAAGCCAGTATGTTGATGGATGTTGTGGTCAAAGTCGACCCATACCTCAATCGATATATCGATATATCGAATGGTTTTACGTAATAATATATCATTCTCTTTCTCTCATTGGTGTATAATGTATAACAATTACAGCTATCCTTGAAATGGTGCATCACAATCAGTAATATTTATTTATGTATATGAACATTATGCTATCAGTTTATTTTCTTTTAGAAGTGTTGTAGCCGTCGATTGTGAGCCAGTGCTATTCAGTAATCACACATTAACACGCTGGTTGTATATATCGTATATATATTATTAGTGACGTTATTTATTTTTGTCATTCATCCGTGAATGAAAATTAACCACATTTCTGCCTGTAACATAACATGACATGCCTTAAACTTAAATACCGTTTATCAGCGAATTTAAAAAAAATGTAGTTAACCAGATGCATCTCAAAATACTCTAGTACGTCAGGATTACTCAAAACACTTACTCACCTTAAGTGCCTGTGGCATGTGTATCAAATATAAGTCAACGTAATCCAATTGTAAGTTGTTTAAAGACTCCATAAATCCACTACGAACACACTCAGGTGCCATGAATGTTGCCCACAGCTGCCAATGAAATAGTAAGAATATAGCTACGTAACATGCCTTGTATAATCAAAATACACATGCTGAGTTAAAGACAACACAATAATAACGCAATCGAACCTTGGTTACAATGTACAGTTCTTCTCTCTTTACTTTGCCGTCACTCAGTACATCTTTCAGGGCATCTCCTATTTCCCGTTCGTTACCGTAAACCCATGCGGTGTCAATGTGACGATATCCCAAATCAATGGCTTGTTTCACGGCAGCTCCCACTTCATTTGGTTTAGCCTGGTAATGAGAGCTGCTCTGTGTAGCATATGGAATGCGTAACATTTTGATATATTTTATTTCCCACTCAGTGGCAATGCATTCAATACAAAACGTTGTGAAAGCCGTAAACAACTCGAACCATTTCAGAAATGTTTGCCTAACTAAGTAATCATTCACAAGACAATCCTGACACAATATAAGCAAGCGCAATACAATTCATTAGATGATGTATAAGATTGTTTTTTGGCGGCAAGAGTTGCGTATATGTGATGTTTTAAGTTGTTATCGTCAAAATATCTGCTGGTGTCGTCGGGTTTATGAATGGAAATGGTCAGAAAAGTTAAATATGTGGCGATATATGTATATTTAAAAAGGAATACGTTAAACTGGAGTGGTCGTCATGCCAACAAAATATCTCCATCAAGTTATAGGAGCACCGCAAAGTAATACCCCTTCCTCCTGAATTAGAGTATGAATATATATATAAACATCAGAGATGGTGTTATTCAAGATACTGAACAATGCAACATTTAATTTGGAGTTTAATAAAGAACGAAACGTATGCGTCGAACACGCGCCCTAGATTATAACTGACGCCCGGTGCCTGGTGTCACCAATCTGATGTGGTACCCGCATACACGTATGACATGACAATTGCATTCAATTGTCTATGTCAATACGTGTTAACTTTCCCATGCTTATTACTTTAATGTTCACATTCCTACACCTATATGTAATATCTAATGTATTGTTTAAAGTCTAAACCATATTAACACTTTTATACACGCTGTGTCAAACGTCACCATGACTGTCTAGCACTCCTTATTTGGCATGTTAGTAAGTTCTAACCAATCACGTTGACTCGAGTGAAAGACTCGCGGTCCCGACTCATCTGAAAGACTGGCGGTCCCGACTCATCTGAAAGACTCGCGGTCCCGACTTATCTGAAAGACTCGCGGTACAGACTCATCTGAAAGACTCGCGGTCCAGACTCATCTGAAAGACTCCATTACCTCCACATTATAATCATCCTATTCATTTAATCATCAATTTTGTTTTTTATATTTTCTTCTATCTGTATTTAATTTTTTTATATATTTCTTGTTGTCTGTATCTGATTTTGTACAATTCCTATTGCATATATCTAATTTTTACACTTCCTACTGTTTATATATTTTTACCATACGTTGCCACGGTCCGAAAATGGGGTCATTTTCATCTTTTGTTGGACAGGACAGTGTCACCAAGTTGCATTGATGTTGTCATGACGATGCTATGGGGCGACGCCCTCACTGGCGGAGTCCACATGCCGTCATGACAACGCATGCAAAGTATTTAGACTATTGGTTGAACGATTAACACTGTCGTTTATAAAAATGGGGGGTTCTAAGGTATTAAGGGAGAAGAGGACCGGGGGCGTATGGTGACGATTGTAGTTGTAATAAATATCCTGATTGTATCACCACTACCCTCAACAGTTTAAAATATAAGTCTGTTACACTGGATAACTGTCAGAACTATCGATGTGCTGTGGGAGGGACATATTCCTGTGAATTTGTTGCCCCCATACCCCATATTGCAAGATTGACGCGATATTCGTTGATGTTACTGAAAGACCATCACTCACGCTCTTTCCATTGCATTGCTTAGAGTGCGTTACCCAATCACAATCACGTAAAAAGCATGATATAAAACGGTCCTTGTTTGACACCAGACACGAATCGCCATGTTATATTTAGTGTATAGCCTGCGTGACACTCAATTGGCATTATACCCTATTCGCATCTACGTAGTCAGTTAATTATATATTCTACAATGTCAAATAGATGTGTTTAACCTGGATTTACTTACTCGCCATGTCCCCAGTCCTAACTGAGGCATTTGGTATCCATTATTCAGAGTCAATGTTGGTACACTTTCCGCCATAATCAGTCGCCATAGAATGGGTCGTGGCAATAACAGCTGTGATTACATGTTATTCACTCTAACAGCTGTTGCAGGGATAAATGTTATGTAGTATGTGTAGTACGAATGTACTGCATTCACGTAATCGCTGGTAGGATACCAACAAACGTGGTTGCTAATTTGCTATTCGCATTTAAAATAACCTGGCCGGTATATAATTCAAATTATTGGGGTAATTGAACAAAAAGTCGCAATGAATCTAAATTGCCTTATTCGTTTAACTTATCTACAAGCTACAGTTCATGTCCATTGCCATTTGATTTTTGTAATCACAGTGTTATATTAATAATTTCAATATAGCCCCAGTTTTAACTGGCAAATGTGTTTTCTTCTATAAATTATAGGTAGATTACCAACATACAAGATCCGTGGTACATCGTGGCCATTCCAGGATTTAAACTCGTTCTTACAATTAAATAAATACAGCATTAGCATATTAGGCCTATTTTATATGACATTTCAATCGTGTGCATGCGACGCAAAACTCAATATATTGTCAAAC